GAATCTATAATTGAAACTCGGTTGCCATACTGGCCGCTCTAAGCTCTGAGGCCGCGCTGGCTGAAAGCAGGTTTCTGGGGTTTGTTTAGGTTCTATAATTGCAGCATTGTTTCATCCGGAGCTCAGCTGAGCTGCAGCAGGCAGGGACCGTTGACTTCCTCCATCACTGGAGTAAGCAAGCCTCATGTTCATGTTCGCTTCAGCTGCCTGGCTGCCAGCCGCCATCTTGGCTGGCCATTAATTTGCATATCTCGCTGATTAGCCAATGGGAAGGGTAGTGAAGTTATGGTTAATTACCATATTTCTCTATTATTAGATAGGATAGCTTGGGTGGGTTGCAAATTTGATGGGGCAAGGTCTCAGGGAATCACCACGGTGGAATGTACAGTGTGGTTTACACTGATGGAAACTCGGATATGGCTACCTGTCAGCTCTGTGATGGGGGAGGTCCCAGCACAGGAACAATGACCCCTGTGAGCACTCCCGTCTGGGATAAAGCCACCCCTGATTTCCTGCCCCGATGCCAGACAGTCCATTTTTCCCCCATAAGTCCCAGGATTCCCCTAAAGCCGCTACCTGGCACTGGAACTCAGTTGAAGCGAGATAGTGTAAGTTTGTGCTTGGACCCTTTATGAGGGACTCTAGAGACTGTATAGCTTCTTCCGTGTCACTCAGCCACAATCTCTGCTGGTTTTTACAGCCCAGAGTTTTGGGGACTTCTCTTCCCAGCTCTGCTACCTTGGGCTAGGGGTCTGATGTGCAGCTGGTACCCCCTGCTTCATACAGGGGGCCTTGGAGATATCCTCCCAATTAAAAAATGCTGCATGTGGGTGCTGGACCAGCCTGTTCCACCCCTCTGCCCCTCCTACCAGTCTCAGTGTGTTTTCTTCTTGACTACTCTAGTAGTAGAACTTCGATTTAGCAAAATTTCAGGTTGTTTTGAATGACGGTTGTTCTGTATTTTAGTAAAAATTTTGACATGGGTTTGGGATTTGGCAAGTACAGGTGGTTATCTACGATGCATTCTTGGTTCTGGGTCCCTGTTTTTTTGTTTTTTAATGGAAAGGTCTGACTAGATATAGAAAGATGCTTAAAATAAGTGAGGGAAAAAAAGTGCCCAAAAAATATATGTTTCTAAATTTAAAAAATGTCTGCTTGGAGTGTTGTCCCCAAAAGTGAAAAGGTTGCCACGTTGATTTCTAGTCAGGGTACATACATACCTAGGTGTGGTTTTGATCCCTGGTTGGGGTATGTACAGGAGTCAGCTGATGGATGTTTCTCATATTGATGTTTTTCTCTCTCACCCTTTCCTCCTCCTCCTCTCTCTCACCAATTGAAAAAATATACTTGGGTGAGGATGAAGAACATCTATATCAATTGGTATATGTATAGAAGCAGAATTGGAAGATAAAACTTTTTTTGTTGTTTTGGAAGATAAAACTTTTAAGAATAGTAATATAGGGAATAGGATTTGGAAGTGGCAAGAGTCCTCAATTTCTAAGGTTTAATAGATTGATTTTTTAATAATAAAATTCTGAATAACAACAATTTTGATAAAACTGAATGTTTTGTTTTTAAAATTGATGATGACTTTCTTGAATGTTCTATAATTTTTATCTGAATGAAAACTAAAAGCTGTATCATGGTTGGAACTGAGTAAAGACTAGATTTCTAGTTTTGCATTTGTTAGGTTATTCCATTTCTGTAGATTGCTTCATCACTGCTATAAGCATAACCTTGCTAGCAAATAAAGGGAAAAAAGGCTTTTGAGAAAGAGCTATTAGAAAAACAATAGGCCTCCCTTGTTGTGGCCACTACTGCCACTGGAGCTGAGGGGTGACTGGAAATGTCAACAAGAATAAGCAGCTCGTTTCCTGATGGCTTTTCACGTATACTGACATATGTTTGTGATGGCATCCGAGACTGAGAAGACCCAGGCTTTACTCCAGTCTTGTAGCACTCAATCTCTTCTTTCCAGCCTCAGTCTAGGGATATTCTGCCTTGTAGGTGACAGACTTCTGCAGTTTTCCATAATTCAGCGAAATAACTAGCTTCGTGCCCTCTCCGCTAATGCTGTGCATGGTGTGATTGGCTTGTGGTCCTAGGCAATAGTCACTGGAATCAAGAAGACTGACAAGAAAGAAATCTTTCTAACTGTATTTTTAGCCTCTGTTATTGACATAGACCACTTTGTACTAGCTGGATCCCTATCTTTAAAGGCTGCTTTGACTCTTCCACAAAGACCCTTCCTTCACTGTTCTACTGTGATACCCGCTGTGGTTCTGATCCTCAAGTGTACCATGTACCTCTTCAAGCTCAAAGACTCATGATGCTACCTTCCCTGGATGGTCCTCATATTCTGGACCTCATACCATATCCAAGATGGCCTTCTTGATGGCTTATGGATATGCCCATTTGGAAAAACTCCTCCCTTGCCATTCTGGCTTTATGTAATAAGCACATCATCTTTACCTCACATCTGTTCTTTGGTCATGTATTTAACAGGGACCAGACAAGTGATGTCTTCAAAACACGGAATTCATATTGATGTCTGAGGTGACCATGCGGCAGCTTCAGAAAAGCAAATGGCTCAGACAATGATAATTAAGGATAACCAGCATGAAAATGAATTTTAGAAAACATATTAGGTACTTATATTATTACTAGTGGTCCGGTGCACAAAATTCGTGAACATTAAAGGGGGATTAATTAGAGGAAGGAAATAATTGCTATTTGCCCTTTCTCTGTAATAGAAGTGTTAGAGATGAAAGAAAATTAGTAAAATTTATAGGAAACTCTTCCTCTCGAGTCTGGGGCGCATCATGGGACCCAGAGTCAAGTCCCCGCACACCCATGTGTGCCTCAAAATTGCACAAGACCCAGACCCGGCCGGC